AACCAGTTTGGTTTCATGCCTGGCAGATCGACTACAGAGGCCATTCATCTCGTGAGGAGGTTAATGGAAGAGTATAGGGCTAGGAAGAAGGACCTTCATATGGTGTTTATTGACCTTGAGAAGGCGTATGATAGGGTGCCAAGGGAGGTCTTATGGAGGTGCCTTGAGGCGAGAGGAGTGCCCATCGTGTACACTCGCGTGATCAAGGATATGTACGATGGGGCTATGACCAAGGTAAGGACTTCCGGGGGCGTCTCAGATTCCTTCTCGGTAGGGATGGGGTTGCACCAAGGGTCTGCTCTTAGCCCTTTTTTGTTCGCCTTGGTGATGGATGTCCTAACTCAAGGTGTTCAAGACGGGGTCCCATGGTGCATGCTTTTCGCGGATGATATTGTGCTTATCGACGACACACGTGAGGGACTAAACGATAAGTTGGAATCATGGCGCCTTGCCCTTGAGACTAAAGGATTCAGAATAAGTAGGAACAAGACTGAATACATGGAATGTCGTTTCAGTGGCCGGGATACAGAATCAGAGGTGGAAGTCAAGATTGACTCTCACCTAGTACCTAAGGTAGACATGTTTTGTTATCTTGGCTCAGTAATTCAGGCGGATGGGGAGTTAGATGCGGATGTTGGACATCAGGTTGGAGTGGCTTGGGCCAAATGGCGGTTAGCTTCAGGGGTGTTGTGTGATCCGAAGATTTCGCCTAGAATGAAAGGTAAGTTCTATCGATCCGTAGTCAGACCTGCTATGTTATATGGGGCAGAGTGTTGGGCGGTTAAGAAGACTCATGTGCGTCGTCTGCATGCGGCGGAGATGCGGATGTTACGATGGATGTGCGGGAAGACTAGGTTGGATAGAATTTCGAATGAGGTTATCCGACGTCAAGTAGGTATGGCACCGGTGGAAGACAAGTTGCGGGAAGCGAGGTTGAGGTGGCTTGGCCATGTGAGACGGCGGGATGCTGACGCCCCTGTACGGAGATGCGAGAGGATTAC